GCTTAATAGGAAAAGGAAACAAGCGCCAATAACATGAGGGGGAACGGGATTTGAATGACTCCCTCTGTAGAGATACCGTAATCCAGGTGAAGACTTTCACATGGGCTCTGGAAGATCTAGAAGGGTATAATTGTTTGAATCAATTCAAAGTACGGCGATTCTACTCGGATGATGATAATCCCAATTTTGCCAAAGGAGTTTGTCCTTCAAATGCCCCACCCGAGGTTGTGGGCGTCGAAAACGGCTGCGCTGACATCTGATCGAGGAAAAGTATGGGTGCGTCGCACGACAAAAGCGTGCCAATCAGGTTAGTGAGCTGTTACGCTGTCCCGGTGGGGGGGGGAGAGCTGTGGGTTCATCGAAAACCGCTAGTCTCTTACACGCCATGGACACGTCGCTTTATCTGGAAGTAGTGCTTAGTGGAACACGGTACGGGTAATACGCTGGACAACTATACAAGTTTGGGCGCGATGTCGCCATCTTGATGACAAGCGTTCATCCTTATGATTGTCTTACACATCCCACGGGGACAACAGGGGGGGGGGGGCGAAACATGTTTATTATGTGTTCGCTATTTGTGGCGAAGCAGTTTGGAGCGACTCCATGGAAACGTTTTAATGAAGTTTTGTAGAGAATTGATCGAACGTATCCAATTGGAAGTTTTTCAGAAGCGACCACCAGATAATGCTTTGTATGTTCGGACGTGCAACAAAAATCCGAGCAAAACGCGGTGGTGGTTCCATGGTGAGTCTCGAGTTTTTTTTTTAAATATGTGAACGTTTGAATCTTTCATTGGTGAACAGTTTTGAAGGGAGATAGATTGTATGCCGCTACCTAGTTCGCTTTGGAGGAAGGTTGGAGGGGGGGGGGGCATTTTGCCCCTCTACTGTCTTCCATCGTCGTATTTATTTATTTATTTATTTACACCATGAGGTGTGCCACAAATTGCTAAGGATAAACGCGCTGAAACTTAATATTTCAACTAAACACTGAGACAGAAGGATCACACGCTATTCATACTACTTCCTGAGAAGAGAAAAAAGGATTATGTGAAGATTTTAATTGAAAACTTGTAAAGTCGTATGAAGCCATCAAGAAGAGATCTGCGTAATCTTGAGAAGCCACGAAGTAATTCCAGACGAAGTTCTCGGAGACTACTTGTCAACTCTTGTAAAGCGACGAAAATGACGCTGGGAAAAAGCGAAAGTGCGGAATGTCCTCCTCCCCCCCAAGCCGAATGCGCCCGTCCGCATTTCACAAAGGGTTTTGATCAACAGCGGAAGCTTTTCAAGCGTCACCATTTTGCTCATGCTCTCGGAGAGGAACCTTTTGCAGCAATTTGGCAATGGGGGATAGGGAATTTTGCTTTTGCTTCTTCCCTTCAACGTGTCAATCCATTTCGAGAACTTTCTTGAGGTGGCAGGTACTACCATAGTGGCTCGACGAGCTTGCTCCAGTTTCACAAGAGTTCACAGGTTTCACCAGAGTGAGACTTGTAAACCGAAACTAGTGAAGCAGCGAAAGTGCAAAATGCCCCCTCCCCGTCGCCGAACTGCGCCGAACTGTTGATTTCTTCGGTAGTTCCCCATTACCTGAAGTTGAACCTATAAGTTTCGACCCGGCAAACGGTATTCATACTTTATTATCAAAAAAAATTAACGATAGGTTTTCGATTATTGAGGAAAACAGATGAATGTTGTGCGGGAGGAGGGGGAGGGGGGGGGGGGTTGTACGCCTGTATGGCAGTCTGTAATATGTTAATGTTCTGGGGGCTCCTCGCTGTTCGGTGTTCTGGTTTTTTTTCGAGATTTAATTTTTTTTCGTACAGAATTATTCGAAAGGCAGTTAGAATTTTGTCTAAGTCTGAAAAAGCGGTCAATGCATCGCAAAAGAAATATCAATAGGTAGCCTGTTGAACCTCCATTCCATGCGCGTTCTTGTATCTTTTGTGGAACAGATACTTTCCATTTTTCTATCAAGTGAGCTTTGCGGATGTTTGCTTGGGGTCGCAGGAAATTTCATTTCCTTCCTTATGGTCCGCTATACTTCATGGTTCGCTATACTTCTTTACAGACCTGCATCAGAACAAAGGGTTCGATGTGGGTAGTAAGAAATTGTTGTAGAATGGAAGTTTTTTTACGAGATTTCCGTTTGCTACTATTTGAACTTGTCTGCCGATTACTTTCACCAGATAGTTGAAAAGGGTCAGTTTTCTTGAAGATATACGTATCCGACTTGCTGCTAAATGCATTTCCTGCACTGTCCTGTCAGCAGAGTTTCAAGAAAGATGAATATATGTATTTTATGTGCAAAAGCACTAAGCTCGTTATGAAAAGGTTCATAAGTTCATTCTCATCTTCGTTTCTTTCTGACTAATTTACCTATTTGTTTTCAGATGATACTGTTTAAACTATGCTACATATGTGATATGATTGGGGATAATTCTCTTTTTCTTCGAAGTGTTCCATAATCCAGCCCAATTCAAAGGTATGTTCCTTTTTCTGGTTACAGAAAGTTATAAAAGTTGATTTAATTGAAATATTCGACAGACTAGAAGGGTTCTATGAAGAGAGGCTGGTCATTTAGTCAGCGCCGAGTAGGTAGCAGTATAATCTTCTTGGACGGCAGACCTAGCAGGCAGCATTCCCTAATCCCTTGCCCCAATGAAAGCTTGGGCTCAGTGGAGACTATGAATTCTCTGCGGGACTATCCCTAGGCGACTCTAGTCGTCTACGCTGTGAGCCTTAGCCTTTTTTGAGATGGGATACAGAGGCGGGCGCGGCCGAGTGCCCTCACCCTTGACTACGTACGTACTTTCGAATGATCTGAGTGGTAGTGAGAGGGTTGTTCAAGTTTCCACAGAGCTGTGAATCACTTAGGTGGAGTTTCGGTGTCCAAAAAATGGTGTCGAGCATACCGACTGTTGGCTGGGAGCTAGTGCGCGTTTAGTGTAGGCAATAGGAAGCGATGAGGAAGAGCCATCCCACCAAGAAAAAGCATGCTTGATGTGGCGCGAGCTTTCGCAGCATCAAGAGCAGTTCACGCAGTGTGATCAGATGAGCCGCAAACGGGATCAAACAAACAGCGAAAATAAAAACCTTGTGTTTCACTGTCGCTTAAAGGCAGTCGCTATACAGATGTAGGATTTATACGACTGGCTTAACAGAATTCCGTGACCTCGGACAGGCGCTCCGTGGCGCCTTTTCCAAGGAGGGTACCCCTATAACGCCCTATCGAGCAACAACATTCCGTCCCAAACGCCTTCCTCGCCCGCCCGCCCACAAACGGACGACCGTTCTGACGCTCGTATTCATTCATTTGCTGAGCAAATTATGAAGCAAGGGATTGGTATGAAGCGGCCGTGATGCTGCATGCATACATGGGTACACATATGCAGCCGTATCTTCGGTAGCGGTGATTGGCAAGATGCGTAAACTTTTTTTTTTCGCCGGATTTTGACCATTTCACTTCGTTCTTTCGCCATTTCCCCCCACTACATAGCGCCCTACTAGCATTTTAGGCCGAGTGGGAAACCATCGTGCCGA